CAGTCTTACGTAAAAAAGTAATAAACATAAAAAGCAATAATTTGACCCTTCATATATACAATTCATCTATTCAAAATAGTTTTAAGTAGATAGTGTTAATCCTTTAATCCTTCTGGGTTTGTGACCTATAAGATTTGCTCTTTAACGTGTTATTTTATTTGGTTCTACGTGTTAAAATCATAAAAGACAACATTAATTACAGCGCAATGGTGTTTATTGTTTGATGTCATTAAAGGGTTTAGTAGTTTTAGCCACACATAAAATTTAGCTTCATGTCGATCTAATAAATTTCAAACTCTGTGAGTTTTATAGTTCTTAAACTAACATAAACTCCCCAAGAAAGTGAGTATTTTCAACTCAATGGAATATCTCTTTCATCGGCTATAAAGAACGAAGCGTTTTATTATACTGCAGTAAAATTTTATTTTCATAACAATTCCAAATTGTTAGGAACATAATCTCACCTCCGTTTTAATACCAAAATAAATATTATTTAACTCGGGGGTTTAATAACTATTATAGAGTAGTATGGTTATAAAATTTTTATTGCCTTCAACAGGTTCGATTCCGAGGAAAATGTCGTGGTAAAACTTCGTGATCCAAAGTAAAATTTAAAGAAAAGAAACAGTGGTTTTATTATAATTGTTATTAAATNTAAGATATGTCGAAAATGCTGCTTATCGCTCTCCATATGTAAAAGGGCACCAACCAAAAACTACTGCGTAGAATTAATTGGAATTTTTTACACACAAGCCTTGCTATATGAGCTCTCAAAGCATATAAAAATTATACGGCTTAAATGTGGAGTTGGGTGCAAAAGAATACAATTAAATCCTCTGTCGGGAAAAAACGAAATGACTTTCCGAACAACTCTATATATGAACTAAGTCTGATGGTTGTCTGATTAAGCCAAAATGATCTCAAAGGCGTTAAAAACTTCGGTGCTCACTTTTTTATCAACCAATATCAAGCTTTCTTTATTACCTAACACATTATATATACGTATATATATTTTTTCTCGGAAAATCAAATGATTTGACTTCTTAAGAAAAGGACAAGCTGAGGCTTATACATATGTGATAAAAGCTTGCAGATTTTTCAGCACCTTACAGAATTTTTAAGAAAAAAAATGTGCGCTATTACTCTTTCTTTTCTTTCGGATTTTCGCTGTTAAAAAAATTGCTGCGGAACAGTTTTCATCCGAATAAAGGGGATTTACTAAGAAAGAGATCCTTCTGAATTCAAATTTATTCTGGGCAATTCTAAACAAACTTTTGCAACGGATGAAGTGATAATAAAAGGAATTCGTTTTAAAGGAAACTGCCGGCCAAAATATTTTCATTGAATCCCAGATATTGGTTCATTTGAATTTCTAATTTCACATGAAAATCTACTCCTAACCACTGGCCAACACAAATAAATCTCTAAAAAGAAAAAGAAGCTGATCGTGTGGTAAAGTTTACTCTAAATATAGCTAAACGACCATACAAAATAAAGGGCAAGATTGAGCACTTTAGAACAATACAACAACCCTACATTTCAAAATAGAAATCTAATAATACTGATTAGGTTTTTATGTTTAATAATAATAAAGTCGTCAGTCCTTTAACTGGTTAGACACTACCTCCATATTTTTCTAGTTCTCTTAGTTCCTGTTTTTGCTTTTAGTATGACTTTAACTAGTCTTTCATACCTCAAAAAGTATCTTATCTTACCAACCTAACTTATCTATTTTCTGTTGGCTTCCATAGCGCCCTCTGTTCTCCTACTCTTTCTAATACCTCCTCATTTCTAACCTTCTCTATCTATCACCACATTTCCAACGCTTTTAATCTTTTGTTTTCCGCCCATCATAATTCGCGTTCGTATAGCGCAGTATTCCAGACATTTACCTTCAAAAACCCCCGAATACAGAAAAGCTAATATGTTGAAACAAAAGTCATACTGGCCATTGTAATCATAGTATACATGTTCCTTTACGAATAATTAAAGGGGTGATAATTTTTACAGTTTTTTCTTTTTTCTTTTTCTATAAAACGCAAAGTGTTGTAGTCCGTTCGCGATGTAAATCTACGGCTTGTACTAGAACAAGCAAAGTTGGAAGAGGAATAAATATGTCGCTTCTGAACACGGAGGCAACAATTTATGAGTTTTAATTAAACTGTTGCAGAATTGGTTGCCTTCCAAATGTTCTCTTCTAAGTAGAACAAGATTCACGCTGTAATAACTGGGGAAAGCCCTTAAAAATTATTAGCAGCACCCTCAATATTCTCAGACAGGGTTCCCTAAGTTCCTTCTTTCAGCTTTACTATATCGCATATTTCTATTTTCTGGTAGTATACCAGACGAAGCTACCATTCGGTTCAAATTTTATGTACTAATAGGAGATTACAGTTTTAGGGCTGTACTGTACTTTAGTCCTAAGGTTTCACTTTAAAACTTATACAGTAATTCAAATTGGACAACAAAACTTTACCGTTAGATTGTCCCAAAAGAATAGACACCAAAACGGAAATGCTAAATTGAAAAACGTTGCTTTCGAAGTTTGTGCTTGTTAATTCTCTTGCGCTCTGATTCCAGCTTTTAATAAAAACTCTGCAAATTTGCTTTTTTCTTCTTTAGTCTCTGGCTCTACTGTATTAACTGATTTATGTGAGGCATATAATCAGTTACTGTCGAAAGGTACGTTTAATGAATTATCGGACTGAAATATCGATTTATAAGTACAGCTTTTAATCCAGGGGTGTTTCTGAACGAACCTTCGACGCCAAACAAACTTCTCCAACACATTAATTCTTCTTCAAACAGCTTGCCGTTACGGTCAGCGATTCACACTTTCGTCCAATACCGCAGAGAATACTGATTAAGACGCAGACGTTTTATTTTTACAAATACAANCTAGATGCTAATACTGCTATATCATCTGCAAATCTAAGCATACTAATCTTTTGCCCTTGCACATCTATCCCTACAGTTGTACTGTCTTTAATGATGTTGATGACGTCTTCGATGTATAAATTAAAAAGTAGCGGTGATAGTGTGCATCCCTGTCTGACTCCCTTCCTAATATTTACTTCTCTACGTTGCATCCCCAGCTCTATAACTGCCTGTTGCTCTTTATACAAACAAAGTATCATAAATACATAAAGAATAAATAATTAAGATACTAAGCAGAAAATAAATGAGAAAATATGGGACAATATACTCTATGTGAATTTCAAATCGAATCTAAATTGAAACAAAAATAGAAAATAAATAATATGACTTGTACCACATTTTTTTATTACTTGAGAATATTCGTCTGCATCTTTTTATAGCATAAAAGCGGAAGAGATGTCTATAATCGGCAATTATCTGTACATGGAATATCATTTCGGTCCGGAGCACATCAGCTGGATTTCATGCTCTGGTTGAAGCTCACGTTCAACCATATAACACAGAAATACACTCACTATGCAATTATTCAAGCACCAATTGAACGCACTTGTGTACATAAAAGAACCGAATTGAATCGCTGGCTTTAGAATCGTTTGATATTTGCGACCTAGGAAATGATAATGGCAAGAAAAGGTAACAAAAGGATTAGAATGTTATGAGGAATATTAATCCTTTTTGTAATCAAACAATATTTTTTAAATGTAACATAGGTACATATGTGCATTTGAAAATACACTAAACAAAAGTAAATCGATTTTATAACGAATCTAATTTGAGATAAAAATGAAAAGCTAGCAGTCCAGGGTTTTAATCTCTACCGCAATAAATTCTGGACATTCCAATTCCAAAAAGCATAAAGCTGGTCTGGAAAACGCAGATAGCGAAAGCCGCTATAAAAAGTCCTTCGTTTAATAAGTTTCCTTAATCCATTTTAATTTTGTTAAGCCAAAAGTTATCTGCTGTCAATTTATTTTACGACCTCTTTCTAGTACAATGTGTTTTAGCATTTTAATGACAATTCATGGGCTAACAAATACCATAAATAAATAATGGAACCATAAAGGTTCGTTTATAAAGAGTACTATTACCAAAAATTAGTTGGTCGTACATCTCAAACAGATTATCAAGGAGCATAATAAACTGTGGAAATCATATGGGAATACGAATTAAAGGCTAATTTAGGTTTATACCAAATCATTTTATCATTACATTTTCGTATACTTCCGCCGATATGCCACTAACAACTTCTTCGTTAAGTGTTCAAAATTAACGGACCATTAACCCCCTTTAGAAAATCGTACAGAAAAAGGACAAAAACCAAGGATATTGAGTGACTATAGGTGCCACCATCGTTTCAGATTAATTAACCTATAAACATTCCTATCAAATGTGTCTTGTGGTATATAATTTGTGACACCGCCGATCTATTCCCATTGCACCGTCCATATGTGACCACCATATCCGCATATTCTACATGTGAATACATTGGTTTTTGCTTGATATTTCTACATATTTATTTTTATATTTTGTGGTAGGTAATACTTTTCCAATCGAATGCCAACGAGTGCAGATTATTACTAGTAGTTACGTACAATTGACTTGACTACGTATCAGCTGTTCGCCAAGGTCACTAATAGGTATGTGTGTTTCGTCAAAACCGGTAAGATAACGCGGTAACTGTTCTCAATAATTGACGGCTCGTTAACTGGGATACTTTTTGTGTACACTTTTTACATCCCCTAATACGTTGTGGTACTACGACGAGATGCACTCTACAGTGCTTCCAGATGTCACCCAACAAATATTTCGGAAAACTGATCAGACATAGTGTATATGTTTGTATAAAATTCGAAATAGTTCATTATGACACTGTCCACTTTATTAAAAATAGAGACGAAAAAAGGTCGGCCATCTTGTATTTTACGTGGAAACAATTAACTGTATTGGAAATTTAAAGAACTTCATTTTCGGAAGTCAAATTAGTTAAACAGACGTTTTGATGTTGTGTTCTTGTAAGTAGGATAATTCCCTGGTTTTAAACACTAAGCTCCCAATTAACTTACCCTAACAAGATCCGTCAAAAGGCTAAGCCTAAAAGACCAGTCGAGTTTGATTTCGTCCTGTTGTAGCACATCCTGTAGCGAACCTCTCGAGCACCATTCGGTCACAAGGGCAGCTCGTGGAGGCTCAGCAAGACATCCTATCAGCGGATTAAGGTTTTCGTGCCTTAATCCATGAAGAATTACCAGTAACTCCACTGCTTTTGCCTTGAGCTCAACATTTCCGGGAGGAAGCGGCTTCATTTGAACCAAATCTCCCTGAAATTTTACGGTCTACAGAATAAATTATGCGTATTCATTAAATAGGAATGATTAACGTGGATTAGGAAACCCATCTCATATTAAACTCACTTGCTAATTTCATTTTAATAATTACGTAATACTTAACAGGTGCCCTATTATTAGATTAGTTTCTAGTGCGTGCAACTTTGCTTAATTATCATATACAGCTAAAGTATTTAGAAAATTTGATCACCTTATTATTGAATTCTTTCGATTAGAAAACCGCCGTTTCAAATAGTTAAGACATAAAAATTTTTATAAAATTCTCTTTTATACATACGTGGATTTTGACCGAATAGGTAAATAAAAGGAGCAATTTCTTTAAGTGTGTTATTTTAAAAAAAAAATCAGCAAACAAGAGTAACAGCAAGTAAATAAACTGACATTCCAGAGAAAATGCTGTAAGGACTTTTAATAAGGATTTATAAGGACATGCTTGATTAAGTGGAAGAAAATAAATGTAACGGAAAACAAGTTAATAATGGCAACCCCAGTTGAATTGCCTGTCCATTCTCTCTCCCGTCTGTCTTCATTTTCATTAGTAGGTCACGATAAACCTGAACATGTTTAAATACAGTTTAATTAACTATTTTGAGAAGATTATCTACCCACATGTCGCATTGTACCAGACAATGTCGTTGAATGAAGTAGGTTTTGTCGAAAATGCACAAATGTTTCATTTCTTGGTTGAAAAATGATTATTTCGTTATTATATTTCGTGCATGTTTTGGCACGTTAGCTAAGAAAGAACTTTTTAAAAAATAAAGAAATATTCATACATAAGAAAAAGCAAATATTAAACTGAAAAATATGTCGGCGACAGTGATGTGTGTACCTACATATTTCTTTTGTGTACCATTAGATTACATTTCAAATTTCAGCTTTTATGTAAACAAAGAAAGAGAAAGCATTTCCTTGTGCCTTCTACTGACCGACTTTTCAATGGAGTGGATATTTTAGAGTATTTTAACCCCCAGTTTCGCTATTTTTCCCGATTTTGATGACACAAAAAGATTAGTTTTTCTGAGACAAAAGCATTTGTTCATTACATCACGTTTCTGGTTAGTATTCACAAATGCATATTCTAAATCCTCATTTTCAGTTCACATTAGATCGTCAGTCAGTCCTAGAACTGGTTTCCCACGTCCAAAATTATTTTTGAATAGTAATCTAACACTATGTTTCAAATTTTACAAATTTTTTTTGTTAAACGGGTGGGGTCCAATTATTTTATGTGTCTTTACCCATTGTTTCATTCTCTCAGTTCTCAGTTCCTATAGTTTTCGAAAATTGACGACTTTTTATAAATTTTACTCAAATATTTATATTAGCCCTAAACGTACTTTCATCTCTCTTTTACACTCGAATATTTTAGGTTAGTATTTATTAGAGTTAGAAATCAAAGTTCAATATATCAAAACAGTCCAGTATCTTTTCATATTTTTCCCTTTTTTATTAGACCAATAATGTGTGTTTTAGAAAATACCACAAATGGCGCGGAAAACGCCATCTGTAGTACGATGGGATTACGTATGCTCCAACAAGGTCCATTTAAATATATGGATATCTACTTGCTGAAACGAATCCCGGCGTAGTGTGTGTGTGTTTTATATTAACAACGAGAGTCTTGTAAATATTAAAATATAACTAAAGTTTTAAGTAGGTAACTTACATTGTACCTAACCCTTGCATCAATGATTATCTGCTTCGCCAAATTAGGATTTGATTCAACCCGATGAGGCGTCCTCATTGATCCACTTGAACCTTGCAAAAGATCAGGTTTATCAACTTCAGGACCACCAAATTCCTGTAATTGTTGTAACCAACAACACAGCATTGCTTCTATACCTTCATCTACCTGAAAATAAAACGTTCAAAATTGTAGTAAATTTAGACAACAAGAATTGTAACGAAAAAGTGTAGAGAAATTTGTTAACATTTATTTCAAAAAGGTCCTTCACTTTTCTAACAAAATATGTAAGTCCTTCTCTTTTTAATGACTATTAAGGATGTCATACTGCGTAGTTGATAAGAGGTTGAATCTGGCAGGTATCGTTGTACGTATTTATGTTAGAAATTTTATTATAAAGCGGTGATGAGGTAACAATTTTTCTAAACGATAGGGGAAAATGTTTGTGGTGTAAACATATAACTGCTTTTCTGTTTATTTTATCCTTGCGTCAGTAAATCGATTGAGAAGTATACAAAAATAATCAGGGAAGGAGGGTTAGTTGTAAGACGTCACTACCTTATTCAGTCTACCTGTTTGGGAAGATAAGCAGGTTATAATACAGTATTATCTTTTATGGTTGATGACTTTAACTTGGGGCGGTTAAAGCTATTATCTTTCGTTCACCTGCAGGAAATCCAGCCATACGGATCGATAAATTGATCGCGATAATTCAACTAATGATTAATTAAAACTTAGGAAATGTAGGAAAATTCAAAGGGAAAAATCTTATCGTAAAATTCTTCAAAGTAACTAAATTAACAGCATATTTTCCGGTTAATTAAATTTTCCTTTTAAATCCTTCTTTATTCACTAATTAACAATTTAAATTGAGGAGGTGGATAGACACAATTAATGAGCCAACCAAGTAAATGGAAGAAATAATAAATTAAATGTATCCATTAATTTATTTTCAATATTAAATATTTTTAAAACCAAAGATGGTGTTTATAAATTAAGATCAGTACGTACCTTTAGGGAAATTAATTCAAGTAAAGATTATATTTTTCATTCTCCTTCTTTTAGACTAAGAAGAGTTTGGAATAAATTACCTGAGGCTATTAAATCTTGTGTTAATTTTAGAGAGTTTAAGAATGAGTTATTCAATTATGTGATTAACTATCAATAATTAATTATATATAATTATCCTATTTATGTTCAATTATACATTTCTCCACCAATATATATTTATATTTATAAATTGTTATGATTTTGTAAAAGGGCTTTTCATCCCGTTGATTCAAGAGAAAATAAAATAAAAATATCGACATTCACAATGCACAAATGTACATTACGATTAATAACTGATTTGTTTCTGACTTTTTAAGATACCTCTCCAGTAATTATTTATCATTTTGCTAAGACCATATAAGTACCTATTAGGTTATTTTTAGTTTGTTTTTCGAACAGGCAAAAAAATAAAACCCATTTCCGAAAAAAACAAACTAATCTCTATTTCTGAAAGATCGATATTAGAAAAACTAGACCAATGTATTAGTGGATTTTTTTTTGGGAACTAATAGACAAATGTTTTGGAGTCGTAACTCTGACCCGACAAAGTTACCCGAAATTTATCGTATGTTCACAGTAGACAAAAACAATGTCGAATATATACACACACATAGAATGGAGACGGTATAAGGAAATTGGCAAATGGAGACGAAGTTTTTTAAAGATGCGATATATCAACATAAAGGGCAAATAATATTACCTATACAGTGACGGAAGAATAAGGGTATCAAATAAACTCAAAATATAAAAGAAATACTTGTTACCTTTGTTTGTAAGAGAAGTATCGCAATTGTCAAAATAATTGCAATGTCATGACTAGAAACTGCTTCCCACTATACAATCCTGTTGTTCCTGCCAGTTNCACTTTCGTCCAATACCGCAGAGAATACTGATTAAGACGCAGACGTTTTATTTTTACAAATACAAGTACCAAAGGGCGAAGCAGCCAAAAAACAACAGATTTTACTGAAAATAGAAATCTATTCATACTTTTTTATCTTTTGAACTAACTCGGTCCTGAATACGGCTCTGATTCTAACGACAGAGTTGGAAATATGTTAAAATATTTTATACTTACAATCTGACATTTTATTTACTTTTCAACTTCAAATCAGATGGCGTTTACTGCGCCATTTGTAGTATTTTCTAAAACGCACTGTTAAGACAGCAGGTAAAAGTTGGTCTGTGTTCTGTCGGAGCTGCCTGCGACGCGCTGATGAGATCCAAAAAGATCGAAATCGCGATCCGCGTCT